CCTCTCTGCAAGGTCACATTCCTGGGGGGCAGTGAAAAGCTCAAGGGGAAGCAGAGAAGTGGCCCCACTGTCTGCGCTCTGCCCTGCTCTTGCTCTCCCAGCCTGGCCATGCCTGCCTTGGCCCAGGCAGAGGGCACACCTGCCCTTCCGTGGGCTGCAGGACCACTGCTCCCTCCGCTCTGCGCTGCTGGAAGAGCCTTTCTGGACAATCCCACCCGGGGACTGAAGCCCTCTGTCTACCCTGCTCAGACATTTGGGCGCTGATAGAACTCAGGCAGCCACTCTTTAAATCTGCAGGTGAGGGCTGGAGTAGCAGCGTCATCCTGGACTTTAGACACCACACAGCTGCCTAGTCAGGCAGTCTGGGTGCCTTGGCTTCTGCACACACTGCATGGGCTTCAGTCAAGGGGCCTCTTAGTACATTCGCTCACTCACCACTTACTGACCACAGAGATTGTCAGGTGGACAGAACAAATGGACCAAAAGAACCCCTGGGGGCGAAGACCTTTATTGACACAGTAATTAAGTTCAGAGCCTTTGATGATGACGTCTGGCTTTGGTTCAGAACTGACTGCCAAATAGCTGTATGTTCCACACCCCTGTCACTTACTGCCTTTGAACTTAGTAACTGACCTTCTCACTGGGCATGCTCAGTCTGAGCCCAAACTGCCCCATGAGTCAAATACAGGAGGATGCTCCCTGCTACCCTCAGAGGGGGCCATTGTCATGCTAATATTGTAGCTGGGGTCATCCTGCTTCAGAAGTCCCTTTTCATAAGCTTCTCTGGTCCCCATCCTCATACCTCATACACCTAGGAGTGAAGGTGTGGGTGCCAGTGGGGAGTACTGTTCTCTACTGGGACTCTACCCAGAAGATTCCAGATCTGCAGGGCCAGGCCTTGGATCAGCTTCCTCTGTCCCTCTGTGTCATTCTCACCTTTAAGCAAGGGCTAAGTGTCATCTTACCTTCACTGTCAGTCTACTTGACATCTCTGTTTGAACGACTCAGTTACCTAACCAAGCCTTATCAACTTTATCTCCAAGATGCTCCAAGAATCTGTCCACGTTGTCATTCTTTCTGCTGCTCAGCTGGCCCAAGCCGACACCATCCCTCACCTAGGTTGTTGCGACACAGCCTCTTACCATTCTTCCCTTTCGCTCTTGTCTCCCTTCAGTTATACCTGAAAGTGTCACCCTTCTAATCTGCTTGATAAGGGTGACACCTTCCTCTGGCACCTCAGCTTAATCTAGAGTATTATTAGTATTATTAGGAGGATTTTGAGGGACGCAAAGCAGACTCTTGCTTATTTCCCAACGCATCTAAACCATCCTCTCTGTTGCTTAGTCGATTCAGACATTTAGATTTTTATGGCTGCTCTTCCTTCTCCACCCCTCCATCCCAAACACTTACTTGTTTTGTTTCACTTTGCCTGCCCCCCCCCAGGACCCTCTATTCATCCTCTCTTTCTGGGATACCCCTCCTTTTTCTCTGTCTCTTCATAGGAGATCAATGATGAGTACGCAATGGCCACAGTTTGTGCTTTTACACATGTACACACTTGCTGATTTGTTTAGATGTTGAAGCTCCATGAGTCAAAACCATATCTATTTTGTTCTCTAATGCATGTCAAATAAATTGTCCACTCGGCCTCTTGGGAAGCCTGGGAGCTTTACTAAATAGATATAGCATGTATGTAACAGTCCACTAAATGTAATAGGTCCATACCATGCACTGAATGTTAAACATAGTATATTGTGTCTTATAAACATGTCGCTATACCATTGAAACTGTTTTTCCCCCAGTCATATCTACCAGGGATTTTTATTTCACTGGGTCACCCTTCCCCCAAAAAAACACCACTAGAAACAAAGCCAAGAAAACATTGCAAAATCTTCGCTTTAGGCTTCTCTTGGACAGATACCTAAAATAAGAAACCTGAGGCAAATATAACTTTAGAACTTGCCTCATTTTTCCATGTGGTGTTTCCTTTTTCCTTTAACTAATGTAAAATGTACATAATCCAGACATCACTGACTTCACCCTATTCACCCCCCCCCCCAAGGGTGTGGTGGTAATTGAATCCTCAGTTGCTTTATTTCAGGTACTTGGTAAAGCTGCACCCTCTCGATGAATCAGAATTTCCAGGGAGCTTGTGCTCTTGGGGGACCTGTAGTCCTTGGCTCAAGGACTTCTGGTCCTTGTGACTCTGTTCAGATCTCACCAATTTGCCTGTGGCAATCTCCCCCTTTTTCCTTTCAGTGATTTCCCCACTTCCCAACCACTCACATATCATTCACTTGGGTGGGCCTTGCTTCTGTGTTATGGTCACTTGAGTCTTGTAGGACTTTGCTCCCCAAATTAGATTCCCCTCACTTTATCCTTGGTATAGCTTAACTCTTCTATTCTAAGTCTCACACTTATGCTCAGGAATACCAAAGCCACCTGCTCCAGGGACCAGCCACAGAGGGTTAACAGTGGATATCCTCTCTTCTCCCCCCACTAGTCTTGAGCAGGAAAGCGAGCAAGTGGAGATTTAGTTTCCACTGATTCAACTTAAGCTACTTTGCTCAGAAGCTAGAAGTGTCTATGGGTAGTTTTGTTTATGCTTTCAAGTTTGCATTTAATGGTAGCTGTTTCCAACTTAAGATCTTTCTTGAAAGCATTAAAGCAGGAGTATTTTAAAATAGCTTTGAAACATTTTAAGATGGTAAGAAATTCATCACTCAGGATCTAGTTCTTACTTGAACCTTCATAAAGAAAGCATTGGGTGTCTTTTCTCTTTCCCAGACAGGTCTAGTCTGTTGACCTAATCTTGACTTTTCACTTAAAAAGAGAAAAACCCTAATTGTGAGCTGTATGACTCCGTCATGTTCTATGTCATAATGGCACGGCCATTTAGATGCGTCTAACTTGACACAGCCACAACTGTGTCACTGTGCAAACGTCAGAGTGTAATTATGCAGATTGGTAGGTATGGTCTCAACACCTGGGTTGATGGTCTAGACTTTTGGGGTAACCAGCATACGTGTGATCAGTCAATGTCCTCATGTTCTTATGTGACATGCACACTGTACTCACTGAACGAGTGTGTAAAACAGATGACTGAACAAATCATCTCCAAGCAAAATATCTTCACATTACATATTGGATAATGAAAGATGTGGGTTTCTTTTTCTAATAATGCTTGACATGAATGGACCCCTTAAACCTGTAGAGTTGGTATTTTTCATCATTTCTAGGAAAACCTCAGATCCTGTCTCTTCAAATACTGTCTCTACCTCATCACCTATTGTGACTGTCATCAAATATGAGAACTTTTCACTCTGGATTTTTCCTTTAAATTTGGTATCTTTGGTGTCTCCGGGCTTCACTATAAATATTTTATTCTGAAGTATTTTCCTTTTCACTAAGATTTTCTTTAGATATGTCTAACTTGACACCCATTGAGTTCTGAAATCTATTATTTGTTTTAGAAGTTTTTTTTTTTTTTAAAGATTTATTTATTTATTCATACAGAACTGGGGTACAGGCCAGAGATGCAGGGGCAGCGAGAGGCTTCACCAGAGACAGAGCGGGGAGCAGAACAGGCAGATCGACGAAGTACACTGCTGAGGGGAGCAGCGGGCGGGTCAGGAGAGGTCTGCCACGCCATGTGGTCACCTCCGGGGCAGGCGGGAATCGAACTTATGCTGAAGTGACTTAAGCTTCTCAGTGCTGTGCTTTAACCCGCTGCGCCACCAGGGAGGGCCTAGAAGTTCTAATTTTTCATACTTCCTGTGTTACATTTTATCCTCTGTGCCCTATAGATTTATATGCTTGTCGCCATTCACCCCAAATATAATTTGTGATTGTAATTGTTTTATCTTTTGAGTGTGATAATTCTAATATTTGGAAATTTGAGCATCTGGTGTTTTAAAAACTCAAACCTGCTATTTTTTGCACATGATGTTTTGTTTCTTTTCAATATGCCTGACTTCACTGATTGGATTTTTGGTATTCATGCCTAAAAATATTTGAATATTAACATTGAATATTAATATTTGAATATTATTCTCCTAGTCAATGGGGTCATCTTTTTCTAAGTTCAGGCTTGGAAGGAGGGCCCAACAACTTGGTATAACCCCTTGGGGATGAATTAGTTACAATTCACACTTACTCTCAGACTATAGTCTTGGAGTTCCAGCTTACTAGACTTTCCATTGACTCCTATGCCTATAGATACCTGAAGATATAAATGTGAAAATTCAGATGTAGAGGAATGATAAATATAATCAGGGCAAATGCAGATTCTCTGCTTATTTACCTCTGCAAGTACATATTTTCCCCTCTGGTTTGGCGTGGGAATTTCTTACCTTGTCAGCAGTTCAATGATTTTTTAAAAAAAGATTGATTTATTTATGCATACTGAACTGGGGTACAGGCCAAGATGCAGGGGCTGTGAGAGGGTTCATCAGAGACAGAGTGGGGAGCAGAACAGGCAGATCCATGAAGTACACAGCTGAGGGGAGCAGCGGCATCAGTGGGGAGACAGGAGAGGTCTGCTGAGCCATGTGGGTCACCTCTGGGATGGGGATTGTACTCACACAGAAGCGGCTACAGCTAGCTTTGCAGTGCTGTGCTTTAACTCACTGCACCACCAGGGAGGGCCCAATTCAATGATTTTAAGAGGACTTAAAAAAATATCTTAATGATCTTAGAGGTTTTCTGCTGAGGGGCGATTGTTCAGATAAGCTAGTTTACCATTAACAGAGATTTGTACCCTCCTCTTTGTACAGGTAAAGTGTTTTTTTTTTTTTTTCTGGATTTATAACCAGTCTGGGGACTGAAGGATAGTCAAGAGCAGAGTTCAGGGCTCTGGAGAGCTATTCTTCTCATTTTATGGAGATGTCTTTGAACTCATAACTTTACTGAGACATTTCTGAGAATTTTATCTCTGGCTCCCATGGGCCACCTTTCAAAGAAGAGGCCGTTTAATTTGCCCTCTTTGTTCTTAGTTGCAGATGCTGATGAATGGCAAGAGTCAGAGGAAAGTGTGGAACACATCCCATACCTGCACACTCGGTACCCTGAGAAGGACATGGTGAAGAGATCCAAGGAATTTTATGACCTTCTGAATATGCGACGGTCTGTTAGGTTCATCAGTAATGAGCAAGTGCCAATGGAAGTCATCGAGAACGTCATCAGAGCCGCAGGTCTGTCCTGCACATTGGGTCCTTGAGAATGTCACCTGCTTGTGACAATATTGGAGCACCACTGATGTTGAGATGCTGAAAATACAGCCTAGAGCCAGAGTTTGTCGTCTTACCCAAATGTTGGCTGACTGCCAGGAACATTATGATTTCTACTTTGTACAAATTTGACATTGCTTCCATGTAGGGGGCAGATGTGGCCATGGTCAAAACTTCAAAAATTTGTCAGCACTGCAAACCTTCCTAAAGCCGTAAACTTCTAAAGGCACTATTATACATGGAAAAGAAACCTCCTCTTTCTTTCCTCTTCCTTTAAAACACAAATAGGCATTCGCTTACTCACATTTATGCATTTCTCTCTTTGGAAGCAACTTGTTAAAGTTTATGCACCATGCTACTCTGCTATCATATACTTTAGGCTTATATTGTTGTGAATATAATGTGCATTTATGAAGTAAACTAGATCAGGGAAAATGTATTTTTAATGGATTTTTCCACAGAGGAAAAATATGAGATTTACAGAAAAAAATGGGAAGAGAGATGAGAAAGTCCCCATTCGAGAATCTCCTCTGATTGCTGACAATCATAGTTAGCTCAATAAAATCACAGTAGCCCAAAGCATATAAAATCTTAGTTACATAAAATCATAGGTAGCCCAGTCATGAATGGTATTGCAAGACTCTTGTGATTCTGTTATCCAAACTAAAAAGAAGCAACAAGAAAGCATTTCACTTCAGTGAAGAAATCCAACATACTATATTATTGAGTCCTTTAACTATTAGTAGTCACCAAATTTCCTCTGCCTATATATGTGTATTGCTATATACCTGTGATTGCAGCTATATGATATTCAGATAAATTCAGTATAATTGAAATGTTCGAGAACAAAACCATATGGGTTCAAAGTAAACTGAATCACTCTGTCCAGAAACATGGGCTTTATGGTTAGTTTTTATTAGCACTTTGCAATCCAAGCAGATCTTCTCCGCCATGGGGAGCGGCAGGTAGCAAATGAGAACCCCACCATGACCAAAAGCCCTGACCCCCTTCACGTAGCGTCTATGCCACCAAATTACTCTCTAGGAAGGAAAGAAGAGCTGCTCTGGCCTTTCCTTACCAGTGGATGCCCATGTCACTGTCCTAAACAGTGAGGCTTCGCTGGGGCAGAGGCGTGACATGTGGTGAGGAGCGGCCCCGTCCTCACTAAAGTCCTACCAGGGGTTCAAGTTCATGGGCACCACGGTGCACCAAGAAACTCAGACAGTAGGCTGATGCAGGTGTGGGCCGAGGGCCCAGGAGCCCATGAGGCTGGAGGACACACTGTATGTGCCCAGAGAGACCACAGCCCACAGCCCCACTTGGGTTTCATATAAATAGCAGATAACATATGCTTTAGTTACCTTTTGTGTAGTATTTTTAAGTCATTTTACCATTCAAATTTTACCATTTTCATTAAGTTTATGGCTTTATTCTTTTTCAGAAATAGCAAAACAAATGCCATTTGGAGGGTTTAGCTCCAAGTTTTCTCCCATGAGTTCCCTCAGTGGCCGTGTGATTACTTAGGGGTGTCTTCTCCCTCATAATTAGGGGAGCACTGATAAATTCTACGGCCTTGGAACCTAGGCCTTGACATTCGTGGGCTGCTTGGAGACCTAAAGTGAGGCTGAATGAATAGCAGCAATCTACTAGAAGCTGTTGCCAATGTCCTGTGGGCCGCATGATCTAACTTCATTATGAGCGAGTGTGCGTTATCATATTTATGCTGAATTAACATTCTCACATTTCCCTACATCTTTAATGTCTGATTTTCATTTAATGGGTGATAGGAACAGCCCCAAGTGGGGCCCACACAGAGCCCTGGACCTTTGTGGTTGTGAAGGATGCAGACATGAAGCATAAGATTCGGGAGATCATAGAGGAGGAAGAGGAAATCAACTATTCGAAAAGGATGGGACAACGATGGGTTACAGACCTGAAGAAACTGAGGTACCAGAGCTGGTAGAGTTAAGAGTGTTGCATGGTTTTTTTTTTTTTTTTTTTTTTTTTTTTTTAATAGCAACAATCAAGAATAATGGGGTACTTTACAGATTTCAAGATGCATTTTTTTTTAAAGTAAAATGAAATAACTGGTTTTAAGTGTTAGCAAAGCCTGATTCTGTCTCTGGGGGAAAGGTGGATTTAAACTAGGCCTCAGCATCTCATTGCTGAGGAGTAGTTAGGGTGCAGCCTAGAAACAGATCGAGGCTCAATTGCTAACTCTGGCTTTCCAATTGCAAGACCGTGGGTATCCTTTACTCTCTCTAAGGGTATTCGTCTGGGTCTTCCAGAGAAACAGAATCAACGTAGAGAGAATGAGAGACAGAGAGAAGCAGGCCTACACACAGATGCATGCACACACAGATTTTATTATAAGTAACTGACATGTGGTTAAGGAGGATGAGCTCTCCCAAGATCTGCAGTGGGCAGCTGGAGACCCAGCAGAGCCTCTGGAAATCTTGGAAAGAATTCAAAATTAAGATGCTCAAAATTAATGTTTAATTTGACAGGCCCCAAAGCACTTGATTGTGCGGCTTTAAAAGCAGGGACTGACTAGGTTTGGTTTTGCTTAATCGGCTTATTGCTCTCTGGGTTATAAGATCCTCTCTATCTGTCAGCTTCCCAGCTGTCTTGCCATCCTGGGGCCTTACTCAGACCTGCTGATGGAATGAATCACCCAGGATAGAAGAAGATGGATATGACACCAAAAAAAATCCTACTCTTTTCTAACTTAAACATGAAAAACAAGTACCTGTTTCTCTTTTCAGTATAGATAAGATGGGGTAGCAAAAGGAAAGCAGAAATCATGGAGCAAACGTTCTCTGATATATCTTTTTCCCCTTCCAGAACTAATTGGGTGAAAGAGTACTTGGACACGGCTCCTGTTTTGATCCTCATTTTCAAACAAGTACATGGCTTTGCTGCAAATGGCAAAAAAAAGGTCCATTACTACAATGAGATCAGTGTTTCCATCTCCTGTGGGATCCTCCTGGCTGCCCTGCAGGTATGTCACCTCCCACCCAGCCGCAGAAAGAAGTGCTACCTGGAGACCAACAGTCACCTTATTCCCAAGTTCCAGCTGAGTGTCTAGTGTGTGTGTGTGTGTGTGTGTGTGGGGTCCTTGAAAAATACTGCCCCGAAGTTGGATTCCTAAGGAAGGTATTGCTGCTGTGGAAACTGACTCTGGAACCCGGGACTGGGAATGTGTTTGTTCAACAAGCTGGAATTCTTCCTCAAAATCTATTTACACCAGGATTGCAGGGTCAGAAAAGTGGCCATGTGTTTGCCTGGACTGACCTGAAGCTTCAGGCTTTGAGCAGACACTGGAAAGGCTTCAGAGCCTGAAAGCCCCAGGCTGGTTTCTTAGCTGTGTTTACTGTGCTTGCTGCTTGTGACCAGCCCCGAGGGGGGTTCTCCCCTGAAGCTCTTTTCCAGAGGGTAGATCGGCGTGGTGCAGCAAGAGAGAATGGCGAGTGCTTTAGAACCCCCTCGTGGGCATGTCTGGAGCAGTGCTGAGTGTGGACCAGAGCGGAACCGAAGTGTGCCTTTCCACGATTCTGTTCTTCCACTCAGCAAATAGTTTCTGAGCATCTTTTATGTGGTAAATCCTACAGGCCATGGGGAGGAGTCTCATGAGTGGCACATTTTGGTGGGAACTGAGGCTCTGGTTAGGGTGAGAAAGAGTAAAGGTAAAGGAAAGAAACAAGATCACAAGAGCGAATGGCCTTTCTTTCAAAGGACAGTGGGTCCCCCCAAGCCACATGCTCCTTAACTTCTCAAAGGAAAATGTGTGTGTTGAAAACACTCTCAGAGTCAGTCAGAGGTGTGCACAAGAGGAATGTGGCTGCAGATTACTTGAGAACTTGGGCTACTGAACGGGTGTGTGACTTCTTCCCTGGTTCTGTGAACCCAGGTAGAGACCCCGGGGGGGCCCCCTGAGCCAGCGGCTTTGCTGGCTTTGCGGTGGACTTTGCTGCCCTCTAGTCCCCAGGGGCCGTGATAGCAGAGGTCATGGCTGCTCTGGAAGAGACAGACTTCACCCTGAATCCCTGTCTGGACCACACCAGACTCCTGGGCGCCTCCAGAGCTTCTGCTGCTCCGATGTAGCCATCTGGTCGGTTACAAAAGCAGGGGTGTTGCCAGCTGCAGAAGTGTCTCGAAGCTGCACATGAGTTTTAGTAGATGTTTTTTCTTTGAGGGGCTGGAGCACAGGTGACTGGAGTCAACCGTAGATGGCGGCATTTCAGCTGCAGAGGTGACGCCCTCCGGGGTTGTATCCGCCTAGGATGCTGCTTTTGCCATCCTCTGAGGTAGCTGTTGACAACCGTTCTCCTTCCTGTTTCAGAATGCAGGGCTGGTGACGGTCACCACCACGCCTCTCAACTGTGGCCCCCGACTGAGGGTTCTCCTGGGCCGTCAGCCACATGAAAAGCTGCTGATGTTGCTCCCGGTGGGGTATCCCAGCAAGGACGCCACCGTGCCCGACCTGAAGCGCAAGCCCCTGGCGCAGATCATGGTGACCGTGTAGGCAGCAGACCAGCGGGAAGATGCTAGAGACCCGGCCACGCCCTCCTGCCCAGCTGCTCTGGGGCTGCGGCTGCCTTCTCGGGGTGATCAGTCTCCCCAGCTCACCCAGGGTGGCGGCTCGGTGTGCTCAGTGCATTCTCCGCACTTGGGGTGCGAGAAGCCCTGTTTGGATGCACAGAGGAAGAGGTCAAGAGTTATGCTCTCTTCACTTTGGAAACGGATTAAAATGTTACTAAGAACATGGCCTGGTTTATATGTTTTTAATATTGTTCCAAAATGCCACCAGCGTTTCCCTTCATGTCCTTTAAGAAACGTATAGAAAGAAAAGCGTTATCAGGAAATTCAGCGTAGTCCCAAGAATTTAAGGACGTGAGGATTCTTGGATTGAAATTTAAGCCAATCAGATGCCCTCTGCCTTCCAATGCCTGGTGACTTTTAAACAAAGGATGGGCTTTTCAGAGACACTTTCATTGAGTTTCACGAGTAGTAATTAATCAAAATATGTAAACTGTCATGCTCACCAAATGAAACAGCACATGGTTGAGTAGGTGGGTTGGCCTGGCAACTCCCCAAACATATAAGTGGCTGTGTGCATGGTCTGGGGGTGGCACCAGCCAGTGGGAGCTGATGGTTAAATATTGCTAAATACTCAGGAGACACTTACCAAATCACTTGTCGCTCCAACTTTCCATAGTGGGAGTACTAACAGGACAGCCATCAGCAGACACTACAAAGGCAGACTTCCCACAGCACGAGTTCCCTTCTCTTCCCCACTCTGCCCCAGGGAGCAACTTACCTTCCTCAAAGGGCAGGCAGCCTGTTCCGAACCGGTGGGGTTTCAAAGGGTCAGGTGGGGAAGTCAGATCTCATCCTCACCCCTCACCTGTCTTTCCCTCGTGGGGGGATGTACACGCAGGTGGACTCATCACTCAGCTGTTCATCAAACAGCTCCACTCACCTTTCCATTCCCTCCCAGAACTTTCCTTCCCTGTTTTTTTTTTTTTAACTCATTTCCTTCAAGAAAATCCTCTCTCCTCATTTCATTCCATTTGTGAGCCAACGATACAGAAAATCCCTTCGAACATCAACAAGAGTAAGAGCTGATACCAACTTTGTACCAGAGAAAGGAAGACATGTTTTCCTTTAAAATGCAATT